TGTGCACCGGCACGCCGGGTCGTCTGGTTGGTTATGCAAATGACGTCCGCGTATATATTCACACGTAGGCACGCATTCACCGTCGTCGGGCCGAGGCTCGACGCGAGAGCCACAATGGCCTGCCGATTTATTATTGTAAAAGTCAAAAAGCGTGACGCGACGGCGCGTTAAAGAGCGGCCTCGATGTCTCAATACGCGTCCCAGGGGGGGCCGGACGGGCAGCTAAGAGAAAAGAGATCCGTGGCGGGGTCGCGATCTTAATTCCGCCGCGTGGACGCAAATCACCGACGGACCGGGGCTTTTTTCCGTGCGGGCCCGTAATTTATGGCGTGCCGGGGGATGTTTGTTTCGTCTGTTCGCGCGAGCGCGTCACGCTGTAAAATATTTCACCGGTTTGTAACGAGTGTAACGAGCCTCGTCGCGTTTCAGCGTTACATAATCAGCGTTTTTCGACGAGCAACCGACGATATCCGACCGGGCGGTGCACCTCTTTTGCTTTTCGACAATTTATCACGACGCGTTGGAATCCTGTACTCTGCGCGACTCAAGATTGCCCACCAGTGTGAAATTTATCAGGATACTTTCCGATATTCCGTGAAATTTTCTTGGGAGATATAGCGAAAGAGTGCTTAATCGCCGGTAATGATACGGTTCGTTTTTGGTGCACGCGACGGTCAGTCATTAGTTCAGTCAATTTGATCCGCTCACGGGGTCGTTAAAGAAATACTTAGATGATTGTGGCTTGCAGGGGAATCAGCGTAATAAGTGGTCCACGGGGAGTAGTAAAGAAACTACCGTAGCCCTTCGCCCCGATATTTACGACCGCCATTGTCGGGAAGCTCGGGAGTAGGGATTTTCACGAATACGTTGCTTTACGAGGGCTACGAGTCTTCCTTTTGTTTTCTCGCTCCTTCAGCGACTCTGGAAATTGTTTCTTTATTTCACTGAAAGAATCCTCTTCGACGCGTTCGATGATTGTCTCGTGTTTTGCTCTTCGAACGACATTTCTGTGTCGTTAAAAAACGCAAGGAGTTCCATTGCTCGTTAATTTGATTATCGGTTTAATATAAAAATGACCCCTGTCGAGGGAGTAAAATATCCTTGGCAACGAGCGGCGTTAATATCGCCCGGAGAGCTAGAAAAGTTTGAGGGGGAAGATCCTCTGTCTCGAACATCCGTTACCCCGGGTGCCCATCCTGCGTCCGAAGACAAAAAATCAGGATGTTCGGTAGCACAGGCGTCGCGAGGTACCGTAATCGTCACCAGATGGCGGGAATTTCGCGCGTTCGTGATTCGTTCCTCGCAATTTTTCTTCTTCCGCGGCAATTTCGAGGAGGGTCGGAACCCATACTTGGCCGCACTCCCGGAATATCAAAGCGTATCAAAGCGATCGAGGCAATCAAGAGGAACGGGCAACCGATGCTCGGTCGGGCACAGCCTGCTGGCACGTTGTTGTTCGCTGGTCAGCAGGCAGGCAGGATATCATCTACCGATCCTCTCTCGTTCCTTTCGTGCGACGTGCAGGAGGAGGCGGCCATAGGGCAGCATATAATTATCAGGACCGTAATGGCGGTCATAAATCATAGGCGCTTCTCGTCCCCCCTCCTTGGTCGACCAGTTCGTTTCTTTCTTCCCTGGCCTGAGCTCGAATACGCGGCTCTGCCCACGGCTAGACGATGAATACGGATGAGAAATCGGCCGAGTCGATTGGATAGAGTCATCACTCCGCTGCCCCGGACACCGGGTCCAACTCCATTTTCTTTGGAAACGCTTCTGAGGACCCTGCAACCTATCCTCCACAGCCATGGTATCGCTAAGCTCAGCGTTGGAGATGGAATCCAAAAAAGAAGCTAATATGGTTGATCGATAAGGTAGTCAGAGGATAGGTCTAACATCTGTTTTGATACGTTCGACGAGGGGAGAGGTAAATTTAGTTTTTTTTATTAAACCCTAACAAAACTAGGACGAAATTAATTTCTGAATAAAAGTTATAGTCTGACATTTGCCCCATCCTCATCGAGTATAGAAATATCAAATGTAATTTCTGAAGATAATCCGGAGGTTTTAATACGTAAGCCGAGAGCAGGGAGCCAAAACGAAAAGTAGAAAGGTCCGTTTCAGCGACACCCACGTCTCCATTACGTGAAATAGCCCGCGAAGGAAGAGAACGAGGGACAAACGATGGCGTCGTTCGAGTGTAATGAAGTCGTAACGCCGCGGGCCCCATTTTCCTCGTCAGGCAGCGATCTTCGTGCGAAACAATAAGGGGAAACAAAGACCGTGACGGGCGTAATATTTGCACGATCGGTTTAATACGTCCGCGGCGAGTTTCTCGACAAAGAAGCTGCCCCTTCGTCCACGAGGACAAAGGGATCCGTTTCGCTAGTAATCAGGACCCTACGGTTCTCGCCTCCCCAAAGGTCAGCCTCCGGTTGTTCCGCCAATGGCGGACCGTTCAATCGTCTCCCGGGACAAGTTTCTTGGATCCGAGAGTGGTCTGCTCGCACACACTCTCGTGCACGCGTGCACGTATTCGTTCCCAGACGATGGGTATCCGTGAGCTAGGCTCGCGAAGCCAACCCTCCAACCGTCGACTGACATTCCCTGCCCGTGACGACGGGGTGGGCCATGGTCACGGTTCGATAGTGGGGGATGAACAAGAAACCGGGGGAAAACGGAACAGGAAATGGAACTGTACGTCGAACAATAAGTACGGATATATACTGGTCCGCTGTTGAGTTTCGTGGGCGAAGGTTGAAGCCATTATCGGGACGCGGAATTATTTGGCTAAGCTTTTAACGAACGTCTCGCGCCAAAAAGTCGACGTCGGACGCGGAAGAAACGCAAAAACCGACGAGTTCTATTTTGGAGCGGTTCCGGAAAAATTTCAACTCGCCGCGAGACTACTCGATGGAAGCACGCGATGATGTTTTTAATTATTTTCGGAGCGGCGAAAGGCTGCTGTCCTTGGGCAACGGTATGCTGCATCGACGTTTCGCGCGCTCTGCGGCGCAAAAATTTCCATGACTCGTTTGCTCGTTGAAAATGGAAAAATAAAGACGGAGTCGATCGTCCGTTGGATGACAAAGTAAATAGAAATGGCTTCTTTAAACATTTTTTCGGCTTGATGTCTCGCAGTTGGATAGAATTTGGCGGGCGATTTTTACGATCGGTGATTTACAACTTTTCGAACAATTACGGGGGACGCGTCCATCGCGCTCAGGCGACGCGACTACGCCGTCAGTGAGCTGACATTTTATCATGATTATGGGGTGGGTTCCGGTCACGGTCCGTTGCCACGACGAGGGAGGATACGGGCGAAAGTCGAAACCGAAGTAGAAGGGCGAAATGTGGCGGCGGAGACGTGGATGAGGGGAGGAGGATCGGTTGCAACCGCGAGGTAAGCAAGAATTATGATCCATCTACGTCGATGCAAGCGCCAGAGGGTCGCAAATGCTTCGTATTTTGTTCGTAAAGAAGAACATTTACAGTGCGCGTTATTTTCAAAATTCGTGGAAATTACTTTGAAACGACGTCGAGCCGCCGCTTCTCGACGAAGATGACGGCGACTTTCTCCAGAAGTATTTCCGCAAAAGCTCTCAGAACGAGGTCGAATAATATACACGTTGCTCGGGGTAGTCTCGAACCGTAAAAAAAAAGAAAAAAAATTCCCAGCGTTTCCCGTTTCATTCGGTTTTCTTCGATGTCGGTCCGCAGCGGCGGAGGGTTGCAAGGGGCGACGAACGAGCGAGGGAGAGAAAGGAGGGAGGGGGTGAGGCAAGCATAGTCGAGGGAAAGCTCGAACGTGGGGAGGGGGTTCGTGACGGTAGGAGGGGTTGGTTTCGAGGGGGGATTTCGGGGTGGGGTGCGCTGACAGCTCGACGCTCTCGTCCGCTCCACGCTCGACAGGAGGATACGCTTCTCTGCACACATTCTCTCTTGCACGCACACGCGTCAGCGCTCGCGCGAACATACACACGCACACACACGCACACACAGCCACAGACACACGCGTCTCGTCCTTTTTTTCCCTCGTACGCGCGTTTGGCTCGTCTTCGTCTCCTACACGCGCGTACACGCACACTTCCACGCCCGTCACGAGCCTTTCTCTATCTCTTTCTCTCTCTCTCTCCGGCTCTCTCGTTCTCCGCGCGAGTTGGCCACCTCGTGTGCGCGCGTTAGCCGTCACGTTGCGTAGTTTCGTTTCTGTCTGTACTTCTGCCGAGTCAGAAGCTCCGACACGGACGCGGAGTCGCGCTGGCTGCGTCGCTCGCAACCGACACCGAGACGCGGTCTCGTCGCCGATGACAGTTGTGCCACGAAGTGGGATACACGAGCCTAACAGCGATCATGATCGTGCCCGTACTCGCGAACCGTTCGTTCCACGGTGAACCTCGGACACGTGACTCGGAACGTGACGTTCGCCAGCTCCCACGTGTCGTCGCGTGAACCGATGGATCGTTTTCGGTGGCCCGGTGCTCGTCGAAGACACCTTCTGGAGGACTACGAAGGTACCGTTTGGTTTCTCCGCCGCGTACGAGTGCTACGAGATCGCGATTCGATCCTCGATGCGTTTGGACGATAATTAAAAATTCAAGTGAGATCGGTGGCTCGCGCTGTTAAACGCGGAAGCATCGATGCGTTATCGGGACGCGTGCACGCGACTAATTACCGTGGTCTGGCGCGCTTACCGCGGCGGATTTCGAACGGGGCCGCGAAAATTATTCCGCTCTCGACGCGAGGTTCCTCCTGGAGCGCGTGCACCCGGTGAGATCGCGGCTGGCCGACGAGTTCGTTACGTCTCCGCGCGTATCGATAGGTGTTGTCCGCGTGTATACGTAATTGGCGGCGTGTTTGCACAGTCTGGCTGCTGCAGCGGCAGCGGCGTCGTCGGTTTTCGCGGTTGACAACGCGCCGCGATAACGCCGCGACTCGACCTGTCCCGCCGCGCGTAATTGCCATCGGCCTCTCTCTCTTCTAAGCGATTCCAACACGCTGGCTGCCCGTCTGGTTTCGCGTTAATCGTCCGATAGCCACCGCGAAGAAAATCGCGTATCACGCGCGGACGCGCGCGAGTGATCGTTAGTGCCGCGATTCCTGGCTGCGCGGGAATCACCAAGGACGCATCATGGCGGAGACAGGTACGTGCGTTTCACGAAACCACCTCCATTAATCGATCATCCAAAAGTAAGTCGAACGGTCGATAGCAACATGGCGCACGATTTTTCTTACGGTCGAGTTCTGCGATTGTGATAGGAGTTATCGGTTCCTTATTATGAGTACTTAAGGTTATCAGCGTCGGGGAAGCTCGAACAGACGTCTGAAACAGAAGTCTGAGAAGTCTAGATACTAAACTAGTTCTAGTATCGATTACTTAAAGCAGAGTTGGGTGCATTTTTATCCAGATAGCTGGCAACGGGTACGAATAACGTTCTATCCGGATAGACCTCCTGTCATTTCACACTGTGTAAACAAAAAAACCGATATAATTGCAACATTGAAGATTTCTTAAAATAAATTTGGTCGCGCGAGTTGGAGACATGCACTTTGCGTTATCGGTGACGGGGAACCTCTAACAGATGTGAAACACAAGTTTTATTTTGGGATATTACACTAAATTTAGTTTCTAGTTTAACGTCGAACTACTTAAAGATTGTTGCTGAAAGAAATATCGCTGTACGCGTAGAATGACGATTTTTTATCAAACGAGCAGTTTTTCATCATTTCTTAAACCCCAAAGACCATATAGTAAAGTGCAAATCGTAACATGTAGACCACAACAAAGAGCGTCAACGCCAAAGCATCAAAGAGTGTACCTAGGCTATTAAATTCCCCGATTCGAAGATCATAAATATCTCAGGGGGTTTTGGACTCGGAATAACGAGTCCTCTTGTAATAAAGAAACGAGTTTAAGAGTCCCAGACGCAAGGAAGTCCACTCTCCCTTTCGGTGGCACAGAGTTAATTTACATCGACCATATCAAATGCATACTAAATCCACTGGTCACAGTGATTCCTACCCTTTTGGGCAAAGTCACTTAAAAGGGCAAGAATCTGTGGCTACGCGTTTGATACACTCGGTGTGAGAGTCCAATACAGCTCCCCTGGGGACAGGACCCTTGCTAGATTGCAACCTTGATTCTTGATTTGCGTACGCCGGAAGTTCCCCGTATCCACCATTATTAAACCAGCCTTCTCTTTGTTGCGTCCACAAGTAGATCGACATTTTCTACCCCCCCAGATAGAAAAAAAAAATTCGTTTGGAGTGGCTGGTCGGTTCTAAACGGTTATCTTCCCAAACCTGGTGCAACGCGAAGACAAATGTCCCGCTAAGCGCGGCGCCCCCGCGTTATCTCGGATTAAAATCTTAAATGCGGGTCAAACGGTTCGGCGGCCACGTGGCACGGAGGGCTCATTAACGCACGGTAGCAAAAGGACACGCACCGGCTCGCCTCCTTTTACCTGGAACAGATAACAGACTCGTCTTGCATAATCGTCCAGCCCGGACCCGCCATCCTTCTTCGGCTATTTTTAAATCCCCGGCCAGCACGCGACATCTTGCTACCCGGATACGCGAGTCACGGAAAAAACCGCGGATCTTGTTTACTGCTCGACGAAGTCGCGAAAAATTTCCTCGATGTCCTCTATACATATTTTAAAGTTGCATTAACTAATTCAACTTTGTTCTCCGTAATAAGCTATCACTGTACACCATTCATGGAACAGTGCTGGTTCGGAAGCTTACTTTCTCGATAGAGAAGAAGACCGATCGAGCGAAGGGTGGGACCGTTTCGATACGGTATCGCGACTCCATAAATATTTAATGAACCTCCGCAACCCTTCGATCTGACGAGGGTGCGCGGATTAATTCTCCCGAGGATAATCGGCTGCGCGCGTTTCCATTGCGATTAACTCGTGTTAAGTAATGTTTATACCTGTTTCTACGAACTACTTGAGCAGCGTAACTTCAGGATTCTCGTCAGTGCAAGAATGCAACGAAGAATTCTTTCGTGACGATAAACCCGGTTATTCTTAACACCGTCGTCGAAAATAAATGCAGATCAAATTTGAATGCTTCGAACCACCGGGACAGAAATCGCCGGTTACGTAATATTTTTTACAGGAAAAAGTTTACGGTGCACGAATGATAAAAATAGTCGACGACGCCGGGCAACAGGTTCCGCGGGGGAACGCGAAGGCGTAGTATTTTTCTAACGCGTCGAGGCGTTCAATTATGAATTTGTTAAGAGAATACGGGTCTATTACAATGTCTCGTAGAAAGAACACGTTTCGAGCGACCGACGCGCAAATATTCCATTCCATCGGGCGCCGTTTGCAACGTGCAAACAGTCCTCGACTAATCGACCGACACGACTTCTCTTTACACACGCGTGCATGTAACATTACCATTTAAAGTATATGCATCGCCCGCGTTGCAAAGTTACTCCTCCACGTCCCCCCCCCCCCCTCCGCCTATCGTAACGCGTGTTTCGACGTTATTGGTCGACTGACATTTCCCGGACGCATTGTTTGCAACAGCTGGTTCCGCGGCGCAAACTTTGCCGCGTCGAACATTAATAACGTAGACGTTTCTTTTTAATTTTCAATCGTAGTAAATGGTGCTGTGCGCGACGTAACGGGAACGGTATTCGCCGGAAATGCCTCTGAGTGTACCAAACTTCAAACAGTACGTACGAAAAGTAGTGTAGGGAAGTGTCTCTCGAGTTTCATCGACCCTCGAGCGAAACTTTTTACGAATGTCCAGGGTTAAACTAAATTATTATTCTCTTAGTATATTTAAAAATTTCTGTTTTATAAATTGAGGAACCTTATACGACAAATGGAACAAAATTTGCTATTTTTTGTTACTTGGTGAGGCAAGGGGTTAGGGTCTGGGTTAGGTACTGCAACGAGGCATTGGAACGTTGACCTTTCGCTAGTTACCACTTTGTAGACATTGTCGACCAGAGTTTGAACTTTGCCTCACCTTCAGGTGGCAACTACTGCGAAACCCGAATTCGAGGGTGATCCGTGACTACTTCGGGGTGAAGACGCTTCGCTGCGCTTCTGATTTAGTGGATTCGTAGCCACGAGGTCGGTGTTGGGGTGTCTGGTAGCTTAGAGAAGCTTACATCGGGGATGAGGAATGACGGGGAAGCGCGAAGGTCTCGCCAGGTCTGGATGAATTAAAGATTGATAATCCGATCGAGCGTCGAATGCGTTCGATCGCTTCCTACTCTTCCAAACTGTTGATTATGAAAAGTTAGTTGCGGTCACCCTCTGCTGGAGATGATTATTCCACTTCGCGAGGAATTCTCAGAGTTCTGCACGAACTCCCGTGGCGAATATAATTACGTGGATTCGAAGAAATTAATTAAACAACGTTTAATTCGATAAAGTCCGAGTCCGCATATTGAACGCGTCTTTACGGTGTTTACACAAAGTATCTCAGACGCGATCGCGATCTAATTATCTTAATTGCCGGTGGCTGCGATCGCCGGAGCATGGATTGAAATCGTTGCACCGTGGAAATCGATGGAAAACGAATCGCCGGACGTGGCGATTTTCACGGAAGCTTCCCATTTCCTTTCCAGCGACTATTTTCGCGGAGTCGTTCCAGTTTTCCTCGAAACGTTTCCGTTCCGCCTCGACCAAACAAGTTTTTCCAGAAACTGTCATATTCGATGGAACTCGCGCGAGAAAACACGGACCGTTACCGGAAGTCCAGCAACTTCCATGGCGCGCTTAATTCTTTCCCCCTCGATGGTTTCGCTTTCTTGTTTCTCGCTCCAGTAGGATAGCAGTTTGTATAGTCCCGGTAAAACTTTCGTTGTTCGTTTTCTACGTTCACCTCCCGATCCTCCGATACTCCAATAGATTTAGATTCCGTGCTTCCTCGCTGGCAAGGGGGTTATTAGGCACTCGATCGTGTTTTAATGACAGCTGTAATCCGGAGATGGTTCTCGGAACGATCGAGATTGGCGAGGGTTGCTTTAATTCCAGGCCACGGGCGTGTTATTTCGCTGGTTTCTCTTAATTTCGGGGTCTCGGGTACTTCGACAGGAATTCTCCAACCGGTGCCTATAAATTGACACTCCTACGCGCAGCTTCCTCCGCAATACATAACTATTAAAATACTTTTCGCCCACGAGGTCGACTTAAAAAGTTAAAAGCACCTTCCTTTCGATCGATGCTATACCAACAATGAGTAATATTTGCAAAATGCGATGTGGTTCGATGCATTCAGAAGCACGTCATCGCCAAAGTCAACATTCCGCGACAGTTGAGCTCCGATTCCAACGAAGGCGGATCCAGAACTTTAAAATCAACCCTCGTAGGCAGAAACTTTGTTTATCAAAAACACGCAACTAAAAAACAACGAGCTGGGAATGTCTGGTGACGGGGGAGACTGTGGAAGAGGATAGACAGGCGGGATAAAAAAAAAGGTGGGAATAATAGGAACCGTGGCCGTGAACAACTCGAACGATTTTCCACAATGGCATACCGCCGACGGCCGATACCCGTTCGAAGGGCAATAAATATTTCAGCTAACCACCTTGTATAAGGCGTGCTCCGCAAAAGCGTTCCATTCATACCGCGGCATAACTTCGCAGCGATGTACAGACTCTTTCCGCCTTCCCCCTCCACGTCGCTGTTCCCGCCCCCCCCTTCTCCGCTCGCGTGTCCGCATTGATACATATACCCGGGGCCCCCTTACGGTTTACGAGCTGCTAGCATGATTTATCGCGATCGAGAACGCCGCGAGGATCATTAGAAACATCGTTCGAACCGCGGAACGTCGAACCGGGATCGGCGATCGCACGCATTGTACTCTATCGATTCCCTCCGTTCGACACGGTTTGCTCCGGATCCCGCGGATTCATTCATCGCTGGGTCAGGGGGTGGCTTTTAACGAGCAGTAAATTGCAGAGTACGAAAACGGGACGCGCCGAAGATTTGTGGGTATTTTATTAGGTCGCTGAAAGAGGTTTATCGTTTTTACACGAACATCTGCTTTAAATAGACAACCATTTAACGACGATCTAATACCCTGTAGATCCAGGGTGGTTTCACCATATACGCTGGTGTCTTCGCCAATCAGCTTGCATCCAACTACATTCTAAGAATTTTGTTCGCCAAATCAGAGTCCATTAACGGGTCTGTTAAATCGATAAGCTAAGATTTCCG